TTGCAGCCTGAAATGAAGACGGACACAGCTTTTGTTTTATCCAGCTGTATTCACTCAGTGCAGCTTATAACATCCAAGTGAAAGATAAAACACCAACATGTCAGAAAAAAATTAATAATAATAAATAAATAGTATTTTGTCGAAGCACCTTTTGCTTTAATTACAGTTTTAGTCTGCTGGGATTTGTCTCTACTAACTTTGCACATCTAGACTTTGCAATATTTGCCTGCTCTTCTCTGCAGAGCTGCTCAAGTTCAGTTCAATCTGATGCTGAGTGTTTGTGGACTGCAGTCTTCAAGTCTGGGCTCTGACGAGGCCATGCAAAGACATACAGCTTTTTCTCCTTCAGCCACTGTGTGTCAGTTCTGCTGTGTGCTTTGGGTCATTGTCATGTTGGAAGGTAAACCTTCTTCCCATTGACAGCTTTCTAGCAGAGCAGCAGATTTCCCTCAAGAATCAAATAATAAAATTTTTAGTCTCGTCGGCCTCAGAATCTTCCAGGTGTGTTTTGGCAAACTCAGTCTGACTGCATGTGGCCTTTCTTGCGGAGTGGCTTTTTTCCATACAAGCCACATTTGTGGATAATTTGTGATATTGTTGTCACGTGCACACAATGACCACTCTTTATCATAAACTCCTGCAGCTGCTTCAGAGTTGCTGTCGGCCTCTTTAGTCGCCTCTCTGAGCAGTTTCCTCCGGCTCTTTCATCAGTTTGGAGCGACGTCCCGATCCAGGGAGGGTCTGTGTTGTACCAAATACCTTCCACTTCCTAATAATAGACTTCACTGTGCTTCTAGGCATTGATGAAGACTTTGAAATGTTTTTGTGTCCATCTCCTGACTTGTTCCTGTCCACAACTTTCTCCCGGAGATCTTTTGACAGTGACTTGCCACCCATAGTTGATTGTTTGCTTCAGATGCACTATACCAAGGACTATGAAATGCTCCAGGAAAGCTCTTGTCATGCTGAGCTGATCAAAATGAGCACAGCTGATCACAGCTGAGAGAAAAATAGCGTTATGTGCCATTGAGAAGGTGATGAGCTGCACCTGCTTGAGTTTATACGTCATTTTTAGGAGGCGGGTCATTCTTTTTCCAACTCGGTGATTGGTGGGGGG